GATAATCTGTTCTGCATACAGGTTGAAAAGGTATGGAGATAGGATGCATCCCTGGCGTACGCCCTTCCCAATTTTGAACCATGCAGTTACCAAGTGTAAAACTTCCCATGTGCATGTAAACAGGTAAGATAAAAGACATGAATCACTGAATGAAGGGGGTAGATTTTTGGATAAAAACCACAGCACCTACTTGCAGGCAGTCCCAGCTACCAACACCTGATGTGTGCAGGCCTCCCAGCTGACAGCACAGAGCCCACATTAAAAACCTGAGGTGCAGGCAAGGATTTGGTAACTCTGAACATATCAACACGCAATCTGTGTTAAACTAGCGCTGTCTTAACTGAACCTGCAAAGACCCCTTAGTGTCTTTAACCAAGAAAGGATACACTAACTGTCCTGTTACTGAGCCCTGCGGCTCCCCATCTGATTTAAACACAGGGTTCGTTTAAAGCCGCTCTGGGGGGGACCTTTAGTCTGCTGGCCGCTCCTTCACAAACCTCCCAGCTCAGAGACAGGAGCCCGAGCACATGGGGAACACGGGATGCAGACCCCAGCCTGAAGAACCCCAAGGATCTAGTCAGGCTCCCCAGAGTTAGGCCCTGAGGGACAAAGTGCATGGGTCCTACACCCTCCCACCAGCCTGTCTCACATGATGTCCACTCCTCTGTCCATCGGTCCATGCATCAATCCACCGCCCGCTCACCTGAAGACTCACCTGGTACTGGTGGAGCAGACGCAGCAGTGGGCAGGCCAGGAAGTGGCTGTGGTGCATGGCCATCACAAGGGCGCCCCCGTGCGGCGAGTTGAGCAGGGTGGCCAGCGCCTGCAGGACGCGGACAGCAGTACCGGCCACAGCAGGGTCTCCCTGTCGCACACGCGCCAGCTCCTGTCCCAGGGCCTGCTGCAGGGCCAGGGCCAGGGGACGGGGGTTCGAGTTCTGCCACCGGGGGTCAGGGCTCAGTGGGAAGATCTAGAAGGCCAGGTGCGAGGGTCAGCAGCAGGGGACGGATTCCGGGGTCCCTCCCTCATGCCCACCGTGTGCTCTGGAGGACGACGGTCCAGGGCCACTGGCTCCAGTGACCATATCCAAGCAGCATTCGTACTCTGTGCAGGGGCCATGCTGAGCCTCGGCAGCCGCACTCACCCAACAGGGTCCGAGGGGGCGCGTGAAGGAGGGTGCAGCCACGTGGCCGAGAGGGCCAGGTGGTATGAGTCCCCAGAGCACAAGAGAGCATGGGTGTGACCCCAAAACTCCCAGCCCAGGGCTGGTTCCCCGGATGTGAGCACGTGGGTGACCCCCAGCCCTCCAGCCCAGGGCTGGTTCCCCGGATGTGAGCACGTGGGTGACCTGGTGACCTGTGACCCCAGGAAGGCTTCTGTGTGGTCGGGAGGGATGAGGTACCTGCAGGAAGAGGCTGGCCAGATCATCCTCAGGTCCAATCGCCCGGACCTGAGTGCCCGCCCGGATCCTCCCCTGGCCCGCTGGGGGCTCAGGGCTGCTCTTTGGTTTAGGGGCGTCTGTGCTATCTGCAGAGAAGGGAGCAGTGGTCACAGGGCAGCAATTCTGCTGGTGCCCAGGATGGGGAAGTCCTGCACAGCTTCACACAGAAAGGGCTTCCTGATGCCACTAAGCAGGACGTGGCTCAGGCCAGTGCTGACGTCCAGTCCAGCCTGTGGGCGGGCGGGGACTGCTACCTCGTCGGGGGGGCAGGGAGGCCGTGAGCAGGGAGTGGAAGGTCTGGCCGCCGGAGGCTCCTCTCTCGTGCTGGACTTCAACCAGGTGGGCCATGTAGTCTGCAAGATAAGGTCAGAATGTCACACCGGCAGGGGCCAGGAATACCTGCTCCCTCTCCAGTGGAAAGCACATCCCTCTCACGTGCCAGCCTCCTTGTCTCGGCAAGGAACACGCCCAAGCCCTCCCAGCAAAGTGCCCACTGGTGTGCACAACGCTCCGAGACCTCCGAGCACAGAGTGGGAGCTGGGTGCCTGATGCAGGGACAGTAACCGGGCACCAGTCCTGGGCCTCAGCCTCCTAACCGCTGCCCCATTCGTCCTGCTCTCACTCTTGTCCATGATGTTCTGTTCCAGCGTCTGGGGGTCGTGGGCCACGGCCTGGTCCAGGTACTGCAGCAGTTTGCTCATGCTGGACACGGGGATGCCGAAGGACTGCACAAACAGCAGCAGCTGCTGGGGCTCCAGGTCCTGCAAGGCTGCACATGCCACGACGCTCAGCTCCCTGCGCAGGTGCACACACGGCACCGCCGCCCCACGGCGCTCGGCAGTGCCAGCCCCCGCCACATACGTGTGTACACACACACACGTGCACACACGCACGCATACCCTTCTTTTCTCTGCACCCACAGCGTGCTGCACACACACACGCGCGTGCGCATACCCTCCTTCTCTCTGTACCCACACCCCCTCCTCTCTGCACCCACACAGCGTGCTGCACACCCGAGGATGTCCCCACACATGGCTGCCAGCGAATGGCCGTGCTCTCACTCACCGGCATCCACCAGGCGGGGCACCTCGGAGCGGATCATGCGCAGTTTCAACCAGTCGGGCAGGAGGAGAGCCTCTTCGGACGTGTCCACCAAGAACGCAGTGGGAAGGGGTTTCTTTTCAGGAAACCAGATGTCAAGAAGAGCATGGAACTCACTGTCACCAGCTTTAAGGGACAGAGAGCAGCTGAATGCCTGGAGTGGGGCGCCTCCCCATCTTTCACCTGTCTCGACCTGGCCTTGCCCAGCCCTTGTGGTCCCAGCTAGGGCTCCCAAGAGACAGCTGCCCTCCTGGCAGCACTCACCGCGGGGCGGGCCCAGGGTCAGCAGGATGACCATGGCGTGCACCACCAGGATGTGCATGGTGGCTGTCTCCCCACTCGTCCAGCGCAGGAACACCTGGTCCTGGGACTCTGACTGCAGGGATGGGGCCCAGGTCAGGGCCACCCATGCCCAGCGCCACCTCAACAGCCCCACCTGCTGCACCAGGCCTCGCGCGGTTGCAGTCCAGCACGTTAGTGCCTTGGGCACCCCCGGCTGACCCCTTCCAGTGTAGCTCTCCCCCAGCAGTACAGGGCACCCCCGGCACTCACCCAGCTGTAGCCCTCCTCGCCCTCCTTGCTTTTGCGCATGCGCTGCACATAGCGGGAGAAGATGGACAGCAGGGCGACGAGCACCGCGTCAGACTCAGTGCTGCGGGCCAGTTTCGAGAAGAGGTGGGCCATGATGGTGGAGCGCTCCACAATCAGGCGGGCCACGTCCTGTGGGGGCGGGCGTTCGGTGGGGGTCTGGGCAGAGAGGCCAACTCTGCCACCGCGAGATCCCTGCCAGCCAGCCCACTGCTTCCCAGGGATGCTACCCGGCGTGGGGCTCCTCTTCACTCTCCTGTCCCCCACCCCACCTCCGTCCCCCTTTCCACACGCCCCGTAGCTGATGGTGCATGCCCACCCCTGCAAGGCCCCCACCCTTTGGGGCTGTGAGTGGAAGGACATGGCGAGGAACACTGCCCCGAAGGTCACGCTGACATCGGACTGCGCTTCATGGGGACAGAGCACCCCTCAATGCACAGGTCACCACCAGAAACCAGCACACAAGCTCGGACTGCTCCGTGGCCAGTCAAGAACAGCCGCTGGCAAGTCTTTGTGTGAATCGAGAGCTGACATAGACTTACTCTGTATCTACAAGTGTTGGGGTGCTGCCTGGACCCCCAACAGTCTCCTGGTCTGGGTCCCGAAGAAAGGGCCATAGAAACCAGTCACAAGCCCGCCCTGCTCCCCAGAGGTGAACTTTGTAGTCCCTTGCTCATGGCCCCTCTAGTACTGGCCACAGCCCACCAGAGTCTGAGGCTAGGGAGATCCCCTGAAGAACAGAGTAGGACTGGGGAGGAGACACCAAGCTTGCATCACCCAGGAGTCCAGGCTGGACCCCAGTAACCTGCCTTGGGATCCAGCATCTCCATGATGGCCCCCTGGGTCTGAGCAAGGATCTGAGGGCAGTAGGGAGGGGACACAGGACCTGACCCCCATAAACCCACAGCGGGGAGGGGACACAGGGCCTGACCCTTGTCCACACACACAGCGGGGAGGGGACACAAGGCCTGACCCTTGTCCACACACACGGCAGGGAGGGGACACAGGACCTGACCCCCATAAACCCACAGCGGGGAGGGGACACAGGGCCTGACCCTTGTCCACACACACAGCAGGGAGGGGACACGGGGCCTGACCCCGTCCACCCACACTGTAGTATCCGGGATCTGACAAGAGGATGTGTGCCTGGATGACCTAGTGGCTGTGGGGCCCCTCCTATAGCCTCACCAGGGCCAGGTCATTGTGCTGGCCCTGCTCCTCCAGCGGTGTGTGCTGAGACAGGTACACCAGGTAGGCGCTGATGGTCTGCGGGTCGGTCTCTGTATGGATAGCCTGTATGGGGCGGGAAGGGGGTGGTGTGAGAGGGACGCTCCTGCACGGCCCAGATATGGGTCTTCTCGTGCCCCCTCCTGCACCCCCTTAGCTACCAATTGCCTCCCAGGACAGCAAGTACCTGGGTCTTCCCAACCCTGCCCCTCAGGGACACCCCTACCATGCCTGTCTCCTCCAGGCTGCACCCCTCCACCTGCCACAGTGCAGCACAGTGGTGTCCCTGACTGAATAGGGATGGCCCCCTCTTTTGAAGGCCCCATAAAAATCGTGCAGAGCCCTGCCCCCAGCTCCCCTGTAACCCTGGGCCCCCACTTGCTATAGTGTCAGCACCCCCCGTACTCTTACTCTCCCTCCCCATCCTCCCCACTCCTCCCCCTCCTCCTCCCCGGCTCCCACCTGCTGCAGAGCCAGCGCAGTGGTGCTCCGGACGCTGTGGAAGAGAGGCAGGCGCGGCAGGTCCCGCAGCAGCCACTGGTAGCCCTGCAGCATCTCAGGCTCCCCGTCCTCCTCTGCAGGCAGCTCCTTCTCCTCGCCCTCACGCAGGCTGCCGTCAGACAGCACCAGTGACAAGCCCTGTGGGGACGCGGGGTGAGCACCGGCAGGACGGCCAGGGCGCAGGCCTGGGCAGCTGCCGGCCTGACCAGACTCTGGAGTGTCCAAGAACCTCCACGGAGCCCGAGAGCTGACTCTGGAAGTGGTGGTGAAGCCCAGCCCTCACTGCGGCAAGCTGCACAGACACCACGTTTCCATGAGTGGGGCGTCAGCTGCCTTGTGCCCAGCAGGTCCCACCAGCACCTGCCTGCTGTATGTCTACCAACTGTGGTCCTTGTGACATTTCTCACTTTAAAAACACTACTATGCATGCCACGTGTACGTAACCTTCCTATACACAGGGACCCCCGACAGCAACGTGAACCCTCCTCCCAGCGTCGGCTTTGCTATGTGGTCAGGACCTGACCCCTAGCCCCTCTGATGTCTGTGCATTCGGTTTAGGTGTAAAGACCGAAACCAAGAGTCAGAGACAGGTCTGTGCCACCTGGCCCCTCCAGCCCCAGCAGACGTGCAGCCCACCGTCCGCCCACTGCCCAGCCGCTCACCTTGGTGGCGAGTACCCTGGAGGCCAGCTGGGAAGAGCTGAGTCGCCGCAGGAAGTAGTCCAGCACCTCGCAGGTGGTCTGCTCGTCCGCCTTGGGGCCCAGCAGCAGGTCCTGCAGGCGTCCCAGCAGCTGCCGCTGCTTCTGCTGTCTCTGCGGGGTCAGGGGGCCATGAGGGGCTGGGAAGGAGACATTCAGGGGGCCGGAGGGGGTTGTGAGGGGATCCTGGGTCACCCACCTGCCGCTTGCGGGCCTTCTGTTCCTTGCTCTCACCGTCCCCCTCATCCTCTCCAGAGGCCTCGGCAGCAGTGGCCTCAGCAGCGGCAGCGTCATGCAGCAGGAACTCACACAGGCACTGCACCGGCAGCACGTCCAGGGAGCCTTCGCTGGACTGCACCAGGTCGGCCAGCCAGGGCATGGACTGCGATGAGGCCTGGGGGTGGGCAGCACTCAGTCTACTGCACTGGGGGCATCGGGGCGCTGCACACAAGACCCCAGCCACCCTCTTCCCCACACGGGGGTCTCGGCTCCCACCCCCCCCGAGCCCGACGGTGCGCACCTGCCTTTGGATGATGTTGAGCAGGAAGTCGGGGCTGCGGCTGCGACACAGCAGGTGCCCGAGCCTCAGGGACTGGTTGAGGGCTTTCACTTGCTCCAGGATGTGAGCGGGGGGCCTGCGGGGGGGGCCTCTGGAAGCCAGAGAGGAGTGTGTAAGCGGTTACATGCAGGACAGCCCAGGGCCCAGAGGACAAAGGGCTCATGGACGCTCAAGGACAGAGCCAGTGTCCCCCAGATGTTCCGTGGGGCTCCTCCCTCTTCCCACCCTACCCACCAAGGGTCTGCTCAATCCAACCCCCTGGACCAAGGTCCACCCCGGACCCAGCTTTCCCAAGCCAACCACAGAGGCTGAGGAGGGGACTTTCCTGAACATCTGCTCACTAGAACACCTCACACCCTGTGCCCTTGCTGCCCCAGGGCCCCCCTCAGCCCATGGCTGCTGCCCCAGATCCCCCCTCAGCCCCATGGTCGTTGCCCCAGGTCCTCCCAGCCTCATGGCCCGCTGTCCCAGGTCCCCCCTCAGCCCCATGGCTGCTGCCCCAGGTCCCCCCTCAGCCCCATGGCCGTTGCCCCAGGTCCTCCCAGCCCCATGGCCCCTTGCCCCAGGTCCCCCCTCAGCCCCATGGCCGTTG